TCGGGTGAAAAAGGATTGAGCTTTCGTCCATCCTATTATTTACATACTCAAAGCTGAAACTCATTCTTGTAAGTCTCTGTTGATGTACATCATATAATGGACCAAAGCCTTTTTTGATCACTCTGATCTAGGACCGGTGTTGCGTATATACATTTACGCACACACACACGCGAGCAAAATTAGCAGGTCCTCTTCGGATGAGATCGACCTTTGAATCTCTTCTTCATGCACTTTCATACGAAATAGAAGCCTCTCCAACAATGTTATCTCAGGAGATTCATCGAAACCCAGTTACTCTTCATATCTAACTCACTAACTTTGCTAATCCTTCTCTGAAAGTTATTTGCCTAGAATCATTATTATCGAAGGGGTTTTCGAATAAAAACTACAATTTCTTATTAGGTCGCTTAATTTGCCCTCGTGTGTTTTTCTAAAAGATTGCTTGATTAGTGAATAAGTGGAAAATAAGAACATTTTTTAAGGAAACAATCACACTTCCCTCAGCTATGTCTACTTTTAGGGACAAATTTGGCAAATAATCCAGACCAGGCTGCTATAGAATAAAAGCTGGCCTACAGAAATCTGTCGTCTTCTTGCGAGATCGACCTTGGAATCTTTGCATTTGAAGTAGAAGTCAGCTCATAATTTAAGCTAGTTGTCCTAGCAAAAACGTTTGGTGAATTGAGACTGATGGGTTGGGTATGAAGTGCAACTGCAATACATTTTTGAAAGTTTGTCTAAATATTTATAATACAGTTTGCATATGTATAAAACATTTATTGTTTACTCACATAGATGCACTTGAGAATTGTTGCATTAAAACATAAAACTAGGATATAACGGCGTAGCAGTTAGGGATCCGGAAGGAATTTGAATTGTTGCCTAATAAACGCTTTAATCTTGATAAGAATAAGCAGTAAAATTTTGGATTCTGGTCTTGCATTCATTTAGGCACAGCTTTCACATAGCTGTCGTTGCCTCTTTATTATTTTAGATTATCTCTTTTTTGAGCAAATGCATAATCCTAATGATTTCCGGTGATCGTAGTTGATATCCGCTTTTTTCCTTTACCGTTCCTATGCTTTCTTTCGATAGGCTGTAATCCAAAAGTTAAAAACAACAAGGCTGAGCTTCCTCGCATCATCGCAGCCGAACTTGGTCACAGTGATTGTGTGAAGGAGCTGAGACGCGCTGAGCGTCAATACGGCAAAAAAGTCAAGCAGGCTGATCCACCTTTGCTGCACCTCTACGACTGGACCCAGGTCCATTTAGCTGAACTGACAAATCGCTTCTCAGGGCTAGCCGTCCGGCTCGCTGAAGAGGCGGCAATTGAAGCAGAGTCTCTGGAGTTGACATCACTCAATCAGGTCAGTGACTTGACATTGCAGGAAGCCGAGCAACCTACAGCAGATGCATCTGAAGCTAGGCGCAGTCGAGAGTCTAGCACCAACGTCAGTCTAGTGCGATCGGAC